AATTAAAAAACCATGATTTACTTACAATAGCACAAAAGAAGACATAGAGAAGAAACCATTAGAAATTTTTTAAAAAGTAACTTTATGGGCCGGGGATTTAGCTCAGCGGTTCCGGCGCCTGCCTCACAAGCGCAAGGTCCCAAGTTCGATCCTCGGTACCAAAGGATAAAAAGTAACTTTATGATACAAAAGAAATCATTACGAGATACTTTAGTCTGGATCTTGAATGCCCCCTAGAGGCTCATAAGCTAAAGGGTTGGTCCCCAGGGCAGCACTCCTGGAAGGTAATGGAACCTCTGGGAGGCAGGGCCCAATGGGAGAGCTCCAGGCACTAGGGCATGCTCTTCATGGGCCCCTTCTCAGTCTCTTTCGCTTTCTGGCAATGAAGTGGCTCCACCATGCACTCCCATCGTGACACTCTGGCTCACCACAAGCCCAAAGCAATGGGGCCAACCCATCACAGACTGCAACCTTCAGAACTGTGAATCAAAATAACCCTTTTCTCTTTGTAAGTTAATTATCTCAATTATTTTGTTACACTGACAGAAAGTTGACTAACATAAATATGTGGAAACTTTGTAAAAAAAAAAAGTCAATTTTTTCAGCAAGTACAAAGTGCTTCCTGCAACAATGACACCTGACATACTATGTTCTACAACTTAATAGGGGACATGATCTGCTGCACCAAACACACTGTGGAAGTCTGAAAACAATCAATTTTCAAGTGATTTGTAAAACATTTTTTGGAGAAACTGATGATGTACTCTGTAAAAAGAATAGCCTTGATGTATATGAATAAATAACAGTTTTATTTGCTGGTCAGAGCTACAAAACAGACCAATACTAAGGTACTTAACTGATAACTCAAATTCCATTAGTACTGCCATTAGTTTTGTGATTTTCCAAAAGCAGTAAGCAATTCCTGATAAAGTTCTGAATGAAGTGAAACCCTCCCTAAATGCACACACATGGTAAGCCATTACATTAATACCAGGTCTCAAGTAATGGCTTCCATGTATCACGCCCCCTTGTCATCTACCTTAGTAGTCCCTTCCCACTTTGAATCTGGCATGATTTTCTTTGCAACAGGATGTTTACAACAGTAGTGCATGTAAGACAGCATTAAATTATATATGCAGATGACTAAACACAATTTTTCCCATCTATAGTCTGCAAGAACATTAACATGTGGCATGCAAGTTAATTCTGTTCAACTCATTACAAGTCATCCTGCTTTCTTGCTTTCCAGTAATACCTTCCAACAGTGACAACCACCAAGTATGTACCAGCACACTAACACTACCCTGTTAGGGGAGAAGATCCGAGACTTCTGCGAAGGTCAGAATTCTTTCTGATCTTTTAGTTCAGAAACACACATCTTCAGGCACGGATCCATTCATGTGCAAGATGTATGAAGATGCCATTTTAATCTTATATGTATGTGGTTGGTGTATGATCCTTTCCAAACTATTGAAAGGTAACAGTAGAAATGTGACAACATATTTTGAAATGTAAAATATCCAGCCTTTATAAACAATACAAAGTTTTAACTCTATTAACCACTCAATGTGTAGACTGTACTTGGATCCTGACCACAGTATTAATAAAAAAAAAGAAGAAGAAGAAGAAAGTAAGTTATGAGCCAGGTTCAAGAATGCATGCCTGGGGCTGGGGATTTAGCTCAGTGGTTTCAGCGATGGCCTTGCAAGTGCAAGGCCCTGAGTTCGATCTCGAGTACCAAAAAAAAAAAAGAATGCATGCCTGTAAGCTCTGCTGCTGAGGGGGTGAGGCAGGAAGATCACAAGTTCCAGCAGCCTGGGCAACTTAGCAAGGTCCTGTCTCAAAATGAAAAATAAAAAAGACTAGGAATATAGTTCAGTGGTAGAGGCCCTGCCAAAAAACAATAAAAGTAAAGAAATTAAAGGAATTTCACTCTCTATGCATATTATATGTAAGATTTAAACGTTTACAATAAGCCAATAATAAAACATTAGCATTTAACCTATGAAGTTTTGTTTACGATGTTGTTCCAATCATTCTGCACTTCATAATACTAATCCTCACCCTCTACACATCTCATTCAAAAACACAAATAACTGACAATACTGTGATAATTTTGGTTTTAAGATGTCTTCAGGTATACTATTAAGAAGGTATGATTGCCTTCTTTAACAAGCATTTACAAGACTAGTGTATTTGCTAGCTTCCTATTCCAAATTTCCCTTTTGCTGTGCATACTATTGCTCCCTCCCTGGGTATTTTTCCTGCCAACTTAAATCCAAGTCATCCTCAAAAACAAGCAAATGAGTTTTCCTTTTTTTTGCCTGTCCTATGAGGTCTTCCCATTTCTTTCTTTTCTACCAAGAGATTGAGCCTCTCTTCCACATGCTGAAATGTATTACTACCTCAGGTCTCTCCAAGTGCGACACTGTGTCAGCTAACCCTGTGTGATACAACCCTAACTGCATCCATAATACCTAGCACAGGACCTGTCATAGTAAATGTTCCAAGTGGTTCCTTGCATGACTTAAGATTCATGAATCCAGTCATTTCCCTCTTGTTGTTGTGTGGCAGTGTTCGGAGACCAATCCCAGGGCCTTACACATGCTAAGGAAGCACTGGGCCACTGAGCTACACCGTCGGCCCTCATTCCAATCACACCTAATGTTTAAGCTTTGCTTCTACTTTTCTAACACCAAGTACTTGTTTTTGTATATTCTAAATGTGCCTTGATGTTCCAGCTGTAGAAATGTTTCAGAAATCCTGCCATATGTGACAATGATGAACCTTGAAACAATGTGCTAAGTAAAATAAGCCAATCACGGAAGGACAAATATTGTATGAGTCCATTCATATGCAGTATGTAAGACAGACACAGAAGCAGAAAGTACAGTGTGCACCAGGGACTGAGGAGGAAATGGGGAAATGCTATACAGTGGGGATAGTTTCAGTTATGGAAGACAAGTAAGTTAGAGATCTGCTGAACATTGTATCTATAGTTAATAACAATTCACTGTACACTGAAAACTTTATTAAGAGGGTAGCTCTCCTGTAAGTGTTTTTACCAGAACTAAAAATATATGCTGCTTCTTTACTCTTAGTATTTTGAGACCTGTCTCCATCTAACCTTATCTATGGACAGGTCAGCATGCCTTTACTTACTTCTCTAATGGACCACTGGCTTTTTTGTCATTACATTTTTAATCTAAGAACAGAATAATATTCTTCATCTGACACAATCCTGAGTCTCAAAAACTTGCCAGTATTTTAAGAAAGTAATTTCAAATCTGAACTGCTAGATCCCAAACTTTCTACAAATAGTTCAAATTGTATTTTAAGCAGTAAGCATATTATTCTAAGTTTAAAATCATTAAAACTCTTCTGCCGGGGATTTAGCTCCGTGGTGCTGCCACCTGCCTCGAAAGGGAAAGATCCTGAGTTTGATCTCAGGTACCAAATAAATAAATAAATAAAGCTTCTACCCTTTCATCCAGATTTTTATTTTTACTAGTCTGTATCCAGATCAATCTGGAATCTGATTACTCAAAATAAGTTTTTACTGGAAAAATCTGGAGACTTCAAAGGGTACTCTCTTCTCTAAATCATGTATTTCAAGTATTTCCTAGTTGTGAGTTTATACTTCTTCAATATCTTAGACCCAAAATCACATGTGTATTACAAGTAGGCAAATAATTTTAAAATGTAACTATCAAAGTATTAGGAAGAAAGACTGAATATAAAATACTTCTATACATTTTTAAGGGTGCAAGAAGACTGAAACAAATATAATTTAACATTTAAACTTTTTTATGTCTCCAAAGGATATCAAACATATGCAACTAGAATTTAAAACTGAAGTTCTACTTCTTTTCTAAAAAGTAAGACTTTCCTATGAACTAACAATGGCTATTATTAATCAACTGGGGCAACTGGCTCATTTTTACCAAGATTACAAAAACCTGCTATTTCTTTGCTCATTTTATCAACTGTGTGTGTGTACGGGGGCGGGGGGGGGGGCGTTACTGGAACTGAACCCCAGGCCTCTACACCGAGCCAAATCTGCAGTACTTTGATTTTGAGACAGGGTCTGGCTAAGTTGTCCAGGCTGAGCTTAAACTTGAGATCCTCCTGCCTCGGCTTCCCAGAGTGCTGGGATCACGGTATATACCACTGTGTCCACCTTACTTTCAACAGGTAGCTAGTACTGATATCAGAAACACCCCTTGTGTCTCAATAGTTAGCTCCTGCTAGAGAATTCAAACTCTTTTATAAAAATATTAGATCACTGCTTTTATACTAGCAAAATATAAAACTAAAATAAACAGGCCGTGGCGCACACCTGTAATACCAGTACTCGGAAGGCAGAGGCAGGAGGATTGCCAGGAGGTCAAGGCCAGCCTGGGCTACACAGTGAGCTCAACGATAGCCTGAACTCCAGAGCAAGATCCTGTCTTGGAAAAAAAAGGATTAGGGGAAGCCCACTGATGGGAAGAGGAAAAAGCTCCATCCAAATCTTTCCTTTGTCTGGTTCCTCAGGACACTAGGCTGCCCTTTGAACTACTAGTCTCCTCCCTACTGAGCACCTGCTAAATATTAAACATCATCCATAGAGCCAAAGTTAAAAGCTTAATAAAAAGGAAGGAGAAGAATTAAATATAAGCTGATCACAGAATAGCCTAGAAAAGTTTAACAGAGTTATCAATCACAGAGCTAACTGTTTTCTGACTTTTAAAACAAAGACTACCCGTAACTTCAATACATGATGCCCTCTCAAAATAGCCGTAGCATCCAATACCGATGAATTTTAAACACACACATTGCATCTCAGGTTTCATGTATTTATATGGTAGGCATTAATTTCAAATACATTATTAAATGAGTACCACCCAAAATATCAATATAGAACACAAAAACAATTTTATAGACAATAAAATTTACCATTTTAAACAATTATTAAAATGACTGCCAATAAAAAAATTTAAAACTGTAAAAACACTTACTTCATTTCCATGTTTTTGCAGGAATTCAATTTCCTGTTGTGTGAATGTTGTCATGGAGATAGACTTCACCCTGTGTGGAGGATTTAACCCTCGCCTAAAAGACAAAATATTTCACAAAATTTACCACTAAACATCTTAAAATGACACATCTAGAAAGTCAAAGCATTTTTAATTAGCACATTCAAACTTAGAACAGTGTTTTCATTCCATAAATCAAAAGTATTTAAAAATTATTTTAAATTCTTAATCGTCACAAGATGCAAGTCTGGTTAAATTCATACTAAATGATATATTTGAAGATGAATTGAATTAACTACCTAGTTAGAAAAACAAAGAATCTACAGCACATGAATTTCTAGAAAATATAAATACTGCTTCAGTATATTTCTGATGTAAGTAACAGACTACAGCATTATGGTAAAACTTTTAAAACTAAGTTTTTTCATGTTTTCCAAGAGACAATGATGTGTTAAGACTGGAAGATCTACCACCTTTAAATAAGTTTGGGGCCAATACAAAATTATATGAAAGTTAACAAAACTTGAAGTAACCAATGAATAAAGCGCCATTCTATCCATCAATTCAGGATTTACAATAATGTCTTCAATCACCTCAGGAGGCAATAAGTAAACTGTAGAAACACAGAGAAGGGATTTAAGAAATAGCTGGATATACAATTTAATGACACTGCGTGTCCTTTATACCCCTGAAGCTTTTACTGTACAGACGATCTAATGAGGATTTTATTTCGATGAACTTTGATCACATATACAGAGAAAAACTTGTCCAACTAATACAAGACCTTCTAATACAAGACCTCACAGAAACAAGGGTTAAAATAATCCATGCAAAATTCAATGAAATTACTTTGGGGTCATGTCCTCCTATAAATTTCTCATTTGGAATCTAGTTTCTAGAGCAAATTAATATTACTACAGAATCTGTCATAGTCAAGTCGTGGTCATCCATGCTAATTAAATATGAGATTTAACAATGATGTAAAAATAGTAGCTTTCAAATAGGTCTTTCAAAAATCTTCAGGGTTCAGGGATTTAGCTCAGTGGCATCGTGCCTGCCTCCCAAGAGCAAGGTCCTGAGTTCGATCCCTGGTACCAAAAACAAAACAAACAAACAAAAAACTTCAGAAACATTTTTGAATTAAATATGGTGTGTAATCTAGAAATTCATAGCATCATTAAGTCAGCATTAAGTGAAATTCAGAATTAACAGAAGCTCCTCTAATTTCCTATCCTGCTTCTTTCTCCCCATTTGACCTATCAGTAATGACCAGTAATAGCACACCTTTCAGGTCACAATAAATAAAACAAGTTCTATTTTAAGGTGGAGAAAGATTAACTTGGTTTTGTTACTTTGTTTTCCTTTGGGTACATCTTAAACTAATGAACTCTTTTCTCTCCAAGTCTTGATAGGTCATGAAATAAGGAAATGAAGACTGAACAGAAGAGAAACTAAGTAACAGCAATTCTATTTACTAGAATAAACTTTACTAGAGTAAACTTCCAAACTTAACTGTGAAGGAAAAATTTCAGTATAAATAACTTTAAGGTATCTTCACAATTAATCTGCAATCATAAATTAAGGCTCTAAATATCACTTAAGTTTCCAAAAGTGGAAAGTCATTATTTGTTAAAGCATAAAATTACTTTCCAATTTGCCCAATATTATAAGAACAAGGCTACCCTGAAGGCTGCGGTGTTGACACAATGTGATTTCTGCCCAGTGCTCTGAATGTCAAAGTGAAGAACAAGACTAAAGTTTGTTAACTTACGATGTACATTTACACCTTCCTTGTCCCCAAAGAAATGTCTTACTGTTCTCTATGCCTCTACTCCTCCCCGCACACTCTGTAATTCTTTTTCCCTAACACTTTCTTTGTTTTACCCACCTCCTTGTAATAGCTTTTTTTGAACAGAAAAGGCAAAGAAATAACTTTTATGAATAACTATCAAACACTAGTATTACAAAGTTGTATATTTTGGAGCAAAAAATTACACCTCTCAAATTGTTCAATTAAAAAATTTCATAAAGCTAACTCCTACTCTTTTCAAATTACATTACAGAGGTGTAATCTCATGAATGCAATACAATGTGTAGTGTATTTACTGATAAATTTCCAGGCCCTACCATATCACAGGTCAATTTATGAACAAAGAAAGTATTCATATTACCTAAATAAACAAAATTTTGAATTTATGAAACAAGTACAACGAGAATGTACTCACAGCCAAACTATGAAAGGACTTTTTTTCCCATTTAACAAGAACACTCATTACAGAATTTCTTTAAATGAATTCTCTCAGTACACTTAAAACAGTACTCAATTTACAAAACTGCAGATATAATTCTGCAAGGCCACATTTATTATATAAATTGAATAATCCCAAAGAAATTCTACATGCATTCATGTTGCTTTCTCTAATTGTTCTTTTGCATTCCATTTATGCAGACAGATTAACTATATTTTCAATTTAAGAATATATAAAGATTTCATATTTTAGCATCCAAATACATGAATATCACACACTGAGTTTGGTGAAAACTGAAGAACGATTTTGTTAATAAGTAGCACTCAGATTAATGACTTTGCAGTGAAAATGAATAGTCTCACACACTGATAGTGTGAATTCACCAATTTCTATCAACCACTTCATTCATGCCATTTGGCCTACCAATACCACTTCGAGGAAGCTATTCTAAAGAAATATCTGAAATGTTAAAATAGTTACGTATGAGATGTTCATCAAACATTGTTCATAATAGGAAAACACTGAAAACACCAAAAATGACAAATCTGTCTAACACTGTTCATACTTATGCTTACGTTTGAATTTTTAAGATAAAAAAATTACATAACATTTCCAGAACTACATTAAAAATATCTCTGTAAAGAAAACAAACCAAAATATTAACTCCTTGCCTAAAGAAGATGGGTTTGGATGATTTTTTTCTATTTTTAATTATCTATTCTCTTGGATGTTTTCCACAATTTATTTATTTATATATATTATATATATATATTTCCAATTAAAAGTTGAAAAAATGGCAAGACATAATGAAAATACAATTGACTAATATTAGTTGTCAAAAAATTTGGACTTTTAGTCCTGACTTTACCAATGTGGATAGCTGTGCCTAAAGAATTAGAGAAAAAAGGGCCAGGGATTTAGCTCAGTGGCACTGTGCCTACCTCGTAAGCACTAGGTCCTGAGGAGTTCAATCCCCAGTACCAAAAAAAAAAAAAAGTTAGAAAAAAAATATAAGAAAGAGAAAATGGGTCTTCCTTTCTAAAGCCTTCTTGCAATTTTTCTAAACCCAGAAAAAAATTTCCTCCCAAATCCTACAACATCTACCCCCACCCCAGCATCTTCATCTCTCTAAATCAGAGTTTCCGAGCCATGGCACTATTGACATTTTGGGCCAGATTAACTGTACAGTGGGGAGCTACTCCGTACACAGTAGGATCCTGGCAGCAACTCTGGTCTCTACTCCCTGAGTATCACTAGTATCCCCCATCAAGTAGTGACTACTTTCCAGACACTGCCTCATCTCCTGTGGGGGCAAAACTCCTCCCAGTTCAGAACCACTGCTCTAAATACGACATATATGTCAGTTCCAAGCAAAAGAAACTAGCAGAATTTCTCTGGATCTCACACGCTATACTTTTACTCCATTGACAACAAAAAAAATTCTTCCATAACTTGTCAACACAACAGACAACAGAAATATCTTTTTTAAAATAACAAAATAAAAATAAACTTGCAAGTTTAAAATATGTATTATGTGTATACATATATTTAAATTAGAGAACTAACCTGGGAAAGTGTTCACAACAACCAAGAATAAACTACAAGATATAAAACAACTGGTTAACAAAATATTAAATTCATAAGTTTCTATACTTAATTTCATCCTACTTCTAAGAGTATGAAGAAACTCTGATATTATGAAAAGGATTCACTACTAAGATGAGAGAGATTCCATATGTTACCAAAAAACTGCTGACCTATTGTTGGAATTTTTAGAAAGTAAAGGAACTCGCTAGAGACCAAAATAGAAACTTACGTGGAAACTAAAAATTCAACAAATCAGTTAAAAAGCAAATTAGATACACCAAAGAGAGAATTAATGAAACAGAAGACAGAAAAATAAACAAGAAAACAACACAGGTATGTAAAGAGACACACAAAAAGAGAAAATTAGAAGAATTTATTTAATAATACATCGAATCAATTCCTTTTCTGAACAGAACTGAAAGAATAAAGGTGAGATAACATTTCAAGAGATATGGCTGAGATTTTTCAGACCTAACAAAAGGGATACATCTACAGACATACAGGAGCATAGCTTATCAAAACCAGGATAAATTCCATTTAAAATCATTTTGGCAAAATCCCCAACACAAAGAGATCTGGAAAATCAGAAAAAGAAACAAAATTTGACAGAGCACAGACTTCTCAACAGAAATAATATCACCTCCAACTGGCAAAAGGCGATAACTGCTGTGCCAGCAAAGCTACTTTGAAGTATGAGATCAAAAGAGTGGTATTTTTACATTTTTACAACACTCAAGAGTTTATCTCAGAAGATCTTCACTGAAGAAACTCATACTGAAGCCAAGCATGGTGGCGCACACCTGTGATCCTAGCACTCTGGAGGCTGAGGCAGGAGGATTGTTGAAAGTTCAAGGCCAGCCAGGGGTACATAGCGAGTTCAACATCTGCCTGAACTACACAGAGAGGCCCTGTCTCGAACAAACAAACAAAGAATAATAATAATGAATGAGAAATTTTTAAACCTACTTCTAGGTCTTGAGACGCAAAGTGGTCAGTAAAGAAGCTGGCATGCACACAGGAGCAAAGCTAAATAAACAAGTGATTACAATGTCCAATTTGTCCAGGCGGAAAAGGGACAAATTCAATACTTCAATAAAAAGCACTTTATTTTTAGGTACTCTGTATTATTACAAGATTAAAATATGATTAATTGTAGAACATTAGTATAAAAAGTACAATTTCAATGGTGACTATAAAAGAATGTAATTCACAGCTTTCAAGCCAGTAAAAATGAAAAATC